TTGATGCTTTTGGAGGCTTTTGGATGGAGATTTCTTTTTAAAATTTGGAGATTTCCATTGAGATTTGATGCTTTTGGAGGTCTTTGGATTTAGATTTCCATTAAAATATTGAGAATTCCATTTCCACTTTATTGATTTCCTTTTACTTTAGTATTCCAAATTTGAGATTTCATTGATTCCCTTTTAATTTAATATTGCCAGAGAATGCCAAGAAGATTTTAATAATGATTCATTTCATTTTGGTCCTTTGATTGGTTTTCTTGTAGATTATATTGGAGGCCCTGGTTGTTGAGGGGGGGGGGGGGCGGGGGGGGGGGTTGATTAATCAAGGGACTACATTAATTATGTCTTTCCGTACGGTATGAGCCATCCCATGTGGACCAAACTCAAACGGCCCTGGCATCACCACCACTAGCAGCGACTTACTCAGACTTGGCACTACGGATTTGTTTGATAATCATCAGCGGCTGGGGCAGCGTTTTGGACATGTTAAACCACTCAGAAATTCCATCACGAGAGCTTTGTCGCAGATTTGGTCAACAGTTGTGAAGTGCCAAGCACGGCTTTGTCGCAAGATATATAGCTTAAGGTCGGATTGAATGGCCTTGCATTGCCGTCGTATTGTATGCCCACTAAATCTGACATGCTTCTTGATTTGATCGCTTCTGAAGCACTTGAAGATACTTGAAGATGTCATCATGGATCGGAAAGACAAGAACATCGGAGACCTATATATACTGCGAGTCAATATTATATATAATGGAAGCGGAGTTCAGTTCACTCCCTGCTTGTAGCGGAAAATGGTCATCCAAGGCTAGGAGCCTCCATATTGTTATTTCATATTATTTCAGGACGAGTATTTTCCAAACACTCTATGTGCAGCTTATTTACATACATTAGAGGTCAATGTAGAGTGTTTGGGCTTTGTTTGGAAGACCCAAGTGCGGCAAGATCGCTGGCCAAGATCGTAGGTCTGGATGAACAAAAACACCGAGCCCTGCGATCGCAGGACTTCTGGGCAACCACGCGACCTTCACCAAGCGCTTCAATGACCCAATCGAGCGGGGGCCCTCGAGCTGGGGGTCTTGGAAAGAGCTAAGACTAAGACTGAATGAGAAACGTATTAAAACTTGGACCAGATCCAGTTAGCAGCCAGCTTCCCTCCAAACATGATGACGGAGGGGCAACCACCCAAATATGGGCAACCTTTGAGCTTTCCTCGGGGTTGTTTCCCCTAACATGTATATGTAGAAACATGGGCAACAACGGAACTGAGGGGGTCGGCTCTGACTCTTCAACCCTTTATTGTTGTTCGCCTCCATTCCCCCAGAGAAGGCAGAAGCCCCTTTGGACCACCCCACTTAGGCGGCCTCCAGCAGGTGAGGCCACTGTTTTTGATGCTTCAGCCGTGGATCCTGGATCCTCGGGTGTGAGGGTGACTCCCCCGAGAGCTGAGCAGGTTCATTTCACAGCCAGCTTTTTCACAGGCAACTACAGTCCTTTTGAGGCCAGCTGTTGCACACACTATAGCAACGACAGTCCTTTTTGGTGGATGCCACGAGACCATAAGTGGTACTTGATGGTCGATGCCACCGACACAAAAAAGGAAAACAAACATGTTTTTTGAGAACCGGAATCCGGAAGGAACAAAATCCGTCCAAACAAGCGACTCGGTTTTTACATGTTCTTACATAATGATTGTTGTCCCTTTGGTTCACACCATACCAACGCTGCTACCTCCCGTGACTTTCCATGCTAACCCCGACGTGTGAAACAAAACGCTGACCTGGCGTGACTCGAGGAAAGGCAGCTTGCGCGATGCGTCGCCTTCGGCGGTCGCCTTGAAGAAGCACCTCTGTGTGGCGCGGCGGCGATGCATTGCACTGCGGGGGTGGGGGGCGGATCTGTAGGCTTCGAAAGGGGAAGAAAACCAGAGGCTGAACTACGCTGGCTGGGGGTCCCTTCCTAGTTTGGTGTTGAAGGATGTTGAAGGGAACCTGTTCGGCTGCAGGTCCCAGATAGGCCAATACTTTTTAAATTCGCATGTTTACCCAATGGGGATGTGAGACTCAGATGGCATGAAGGAAGTTGTGGAGGCGTTGAAGTGTCCGGCTGGCTAGCTGCCAAAGTGGCCAGGCCAAGCCGATTTTGCAAGAGTGTTAGTGTTTGGTGTTCAGGAGCAGGCCGCTTGCAAGGAGCATGTCGAATAAGACAAGATGAATAAGCCAGTGGTTTTGCAGCCGCACTCATGGGTGCGGCTGTGTTATGCAGATCGTAGGGAATGTGCGAAAGCAGAACTCATGGGGTGTTTTGTTTGTTGACATGCGACTTGAGCAAGTACTGCGTGGCGTGGCTTCTTTTGCGGAGCAACTTAAGGAAGTACTGTGTGGCGGCGTGGACAGTTGCAATTCATCTTGACTGAAAGGGACCTCACGGGGGGGCCGGGCCGAACCTGTCCTGACGGTTGGGATTGGACCTCACACCGGAGGACGCATGTGATTCCATCTCATCCGCACTCGCAAATGTACGGCGGAATGGCCTGTTCAATGTCACAAGATCTGAAGAGCCTTTCTTGCACCTTAGCGTAGCCCTTGAGGGGTTGAATCCATGGCACACCACACGCGAAGGGCGCTACTGACCCGCCCATGGTATAGGGCAGCTTCTGTCCAGATGATCAATTCCAGAGATCCGCTCCTCCTCGGACTCGAGCCTCTGGCCTGTAGCGGACTCGTCGGTCTCTCAGCTGAGGAGCAGCTCTGGACCCTGGCGAAGCCCCACCTGCTTCGGAGGACCAAGGAGCACCTGCAGGCCGAGAGCTCCGAGGCGATCCTCGGGAAGCGTGGAGGCCTAGCCGCCCAGCCCAGCTTAGAAGTCATAGGACGAAAAGAGACGGACTGGCTGAGAAGAGCCAAATAGATCGAAACGGCTTCCAAATACATTGGATCTACTGTTCTATCTCTTTGGGGGTCTTTGAGCCCCACATCGTTTTTGAGAACTTTGGCGACTCTGAGCACCCACGCCTCCTTGCCTGACCAGGTGCCATCAGACTCTTACCGCAGGTCCCAGGCAGTCGTTCAGTCCAGGAAGCAGGGGGCCATCGTTCAGTCTTTGGAACCGCTGGTGACCAGCTTTATAGCCCGGACACTCCATGTATGTCAGATGTGCCGACCAGTTGCCTTGGCTTGAGGGGTCAATGCCTGGTCCCCCTGACGCGCCAAACTGGCGCGTCCCAGGCCGCTGTCTCCTCGCATGGAGCTACTTGGTGCCGGTCGAAGGGTATGAGGAGGTGACCAGGACCCCCACAGACGTGGATCATGTGATTGGACACGCCTTAACCTCTAAGGGACCATCAATGGACAGCCCTGTCACTTCCAGGGGGTCCTGGGAGAGGTTAGCTTCCTTATGATTCTCTTGATCGGCCGAGTTTCGACTTGTTGTGAAGGCCTCAGTGCACCAGGGTTTCACCAGCGAACCAGCGCAACAGCGAGCCATTCCGCGGTTGATCTTCTAGTTGACCTCAAAAGGATCCCTCAAGCTATGAGCCTGGGAAGCTGAGAAGTGCAAGCCCGTTCAAGTGCCAACTAGGAATTCCAGGATTACTGTAGGTTGTGGGTCCAGGCAGGAGATGCAGGGTGCAGGAAGAAGAAGCTTCCACAGATGCAGAGAAAGATACATCAGCATTACATTCACATGGTGAAGCTTAGGATGATTTGTTATTTCTGGAACCCCAAACAACCAAAAATGGTTGTTCCAATATGGCAATTGAAATCCTTTACATAGGAAATGGTTGTTTGGGGACACATCCATTTCTTTCTGGTTGTTTGGGGTTCCAGGTTTCCCTTATGGGTGAATCCCCAAACCTTGGGAATATGTTTATATTTGTCCCGGTTCCTTAGCATCAGTCAAGTGGCCTCAGCAAGGGCATGATACGTGCATTCTATCGCAACAGTTCCCAAGATGTCCTTCGCTCTGAAGTGCCCATAGGGTCATGGGGTGTGTCCGGGCATCATGTGCTCATAAATGATGCGAATGGAATCACAAACTTTGGTACTAGTTCCTAAAACTACAGTAATGTCGATAAGCATGTGAGTTTTGAGCGATAGTGACCTAGTCACCCGGCTAGTCGATCCAAGGTTCGTGGTGTGGCTCACCCCATCCAGAGATCAAGTCCGCACCTATCAGAAAGCCTTGGAGACCAGCGACATCATCCACGAAGCCAATTGCGCCGCCGGCCGGTCTTGCTTGGACCTGCATGCCTAGTCTCGGGGCCGTACCGGACGAGTGTTGCCAGGGATGAAAGCTGTTGATCGTTAGGTGACTCTTGGGTGATCAGTAGGAACATGACTAGTCAGTGAAGGTGAAGAAGTCAACTGATGGTCTATCAGAACTTCCTGGTGCTTATAAGTGGAGAAGAAAGGCAATGACTTCTTGTAGATTCGATGCCTTAGGATCCATTACATTATCTCATTCTTTGCAAGTCGAGTCAGAAAAGGTAGGTCCGGTCCGATCAACCTATCCACCTCCAAGTCGTCAACTCACACACCTCGTCAACGACGTCGCTCTCCATGAGTGCTCTTGTTACTAAAGCCATGTGTCTCATAGAGTACCAACCAAGACAAACAGCTGATGCACACCGCTTGGTGGTACCCTTCAGTTTGGGAATCGAAGTATGGTGGGAAAAAATGATCCTATGTCATCCTGCAATAGCCTTTATACGCCACAGCTCCGATTTTATCAGGTCAAAACATACATGGGCCTGGCACTCACAATGATGTTCACACATAAACGTTTGAGATTGCATGGTTTGAGGAGGGTTTTTGGCATTACACCATACATGACCTAGGAGTATGCCACCAACATCCACTAACATAGCGTGTGACAACTAGGAGATGAGATAGGAAAGCACCTGTACAATTTCCAGGGCGAGGACCTATGTCATGAGTGCCCAGGAAAGAAAGGAAATGTAGGAATTGGACTAGCAAAGATAGCAAAGTCTCTAAAAGTTACAAATTACTTTTTTTTTGAATTTTGTATGTTTTCAATGTTTGAAAGGGCTCTTAATGTGAAGGAGAGAAAGGATATCAAGGAATAGACCTGCAGCAAAATATCTAAAAATTAGAATTAACGGTGTTTTTTTATTCAGGACGACAGCCTATGTCATGACCTGATGAGATAGGAGCTGTGGCATAGGCACCCAATGACCCAACGCTCCCGTCGGGCTGACCTCGGGGCCCAGCCACGGGGAAGATGCACCGAGATGACCTGATGAGATGCACCAAACAGCCGACGGGAGCGTTGGGCGCCTATGCCACAGCTCCTATGCATCTTCCCCTGGTGACTGTGCCATAGGCGCCACAGCTCCTATCTCATTTGATCATCTCGGTGCATCTTCCCGGTGGCTGTGCCCGGAGCGTTGGGCCTTGGGCGCCGATGCCACAGCTCCTATTCTCATCAGGTCATGACATAGGCTTTCGCCCTGAACAAAAGAACCTATTTAATTTGTAAGTGCTAGATGTTTTGCTGGTTTAGTTCCTTCGTTTCCTTTCTTTCCTTGAAGTTCAGAGTCTTTTTAACACGTTTTTAAAAAACCGCGAAACGTTTCGTTTTCGGAAGGCCTGATGGTGCCTGTCGATCACCCAATTCCGGTGAGGAGAAGAGACCGATCCTCCACAGTGATGCACGAACCTCCTTTGGAACGGCTTTGGATGGAAACGAGGGTGGAATGGGTTCGTTGGCCCTCACAAGCTGCCTTTCATGCCAACGAACATGAAAGGCATTTGGGCACTCCTCCCAGACTCAAACATGACATAGCTCAGGCTGTGGGAAAAATGAGGGGAGCGCGCCTAAGTCATGAAGCTTAAAGCAGCCATATTCGGTATTTGTTCAAGTATTTCTTGTCATGTACTGGCCGAGCGACCACAGCTCCTATGTCATCCTGCTGTGTACTACACTTGGCAACCTCGTCTACTGACTGATGACCTAAACACTGTGGCCTGGAAACCCTATCTCATTAGCCCAGCGAATTCCTATGTCATCAGCCCTATATGCTATAGGCATATGCTTCGGAATGGGTGGCGCCCATTTTTGCGGCCAAGACGAGCACGTCCGCGTCCGCCAGGCAAGAGCAAGTTGGGTGTCGAGGTCTTCCGTGCCATTGCCCTGCTGAAACGGTTCCCTGGGGGCGGACTATGACAGAGGTTCAATGAGACAAGGGCCCCCCCAGGTGGTGCGGTGGTGCATATATGGACCCCCATCTGTCTAAGACATCTTGGGGTGCCAGTGCCATCGAACCTCTGAAACTAGTGTAAAGAAAGGTTGACCTGATGTTTGTAGCGTTAAACATTCATTGGTCAATTCCTTTCGGCAAGTATGGTGGTTGGAATGCTATATGGGTTTTGGGCTTGACCAAAAGGGGCACTGTGCACCGTGGTCCAGGGAGCCAGGGCGGTTTGAAGACTCAGAGATCTCATAGGCTGAACGGTTTTGAGGTGGTGACATAGGCGTCATCAGGAGGAGGTGCTGACGTCGTCGTTTCAGGATTTGGGCAGCTATTCTGATTATGTGATGTTATTGCTTTCCGATCGGCCAATGGATGAAGACGCCATGCAAGATGTTGCAAGCAGGAGAAACACGGCCTGTGAGATTCCATCACAAAGGTCCCTTTAGACTCTTAGACCAGGTCACGTACTAGAACTGCGGGGTTCTGACCATACAGGAGAACCCATAGTGTTGGATAAAGAGCTCACTGACTAGTGAGGAAGACATTGGTCATTATTTTGCCTCATTGTTCTATATATGTTGTTCTTCGGGGCGAGCGCGAGCATGGCGAGCGCGTTCGCCGCGTGCTGAGGCTTTGCAACCATCCCGTCCTTGCCATCAAGCCCGAGGTTTGGAGTTTTTGGAGTTGTTCTTCGTTTCATGTGTTGTTTCATTCCCTATAGGGCTCCTGTCCCACATCCTCAGGTTCGGTGGTTGCGGTTGGTGCCAGGGGGGGGTTCGTCCTACCTAACCTGAGGACGTGGGCTGGTTCGGGGTTTGGTCAGAGTGCTGTTGAATGATAGGCCGTAGTGAGGTAGCTTTGACTCCACCACTTGCGACAGACTGTAAGATGCATCCGTTCCCGGCCATGGCCATGAATTGAAGTAGGGAGTGTTGGCCCATAAAAGCCCAGAGGCCCTGGAGTTGAAGTTGGACGTAGGGGACGTATGTATCAGAGGGCTTGGAAGAGCATCCGTTTTCTTCGTCTTCTTGGACCGTGCCTTATTGAGACGTGGATCGCACGGCCTTCTTGGACCGTTCCCAGCTTCGCGGGATGCTTTGCTTGACGTGCCGGGGGGGAAGTTCGGCATTTGCAGCTGAAAGTTGAGCTACAGGGCTCTGCAAAATGCTTCTAGGGCCGATCACAGGGCTTTTAGCAGCCCTGAAGGGTGTTGGAGACACAAGAGGCAAAAAAACGGTACCAGCGTGGTCCTCTTTATAATCACTGGAAACCCCGGGAGTTTTCGTGCAAGAAAAAGACGAAGGAGTTTTCTGATGGACAACTTAGGTAGGTCTGGGTGGGGTCAGGGCTTGAGTATGCCATTTTGGCTCAAGCCCTGACCCTTTGTTTGAGGGTCATGTGGTGGGTCGCGCTCCTCGCGGGCGGCTTGCTGGGGGGGGATGTTCCCCTCAGCCATGGCGGCTGCGGCGATGTCGTCGGTGTCGGCCATCTTGGAGCATTTCCAGGTGGCCGACGCTTTGTGGACGGCATTTGTTCGCGAGGCTGGCGATCCGAACGACGACCTTCGGCTCTTGGCTGCCCTTCCGGGCAATGTGGTCGCGGCCTCGCTGGCCCAAGCGACTTTCGACGACGGCACCCCTTTGACAGCGGTTCAGGCCGCCCAGGTGGGACTCGTGTGGAAGCTGGCGAGGAGGATGATGTTTGTGAAGGGGGGTGGCACCTGGGAGGACTGGTCAGAGGAAGACCCATGGAGCGACTCCCCTACTTCACCACCGAGGAGTTCGTCGGCAAGGGCATCAGCAGCAACCGGGGAGTTTGTGAAGGAAACGAAGGAAAGAACACTGAAATTTACCCAGGTCCTCGACCAAGGGGACGATGGAGAATTCGAGGTACTCAACGAGGAGGCCAAGATGATACTCCTCCAGAAGTATGTCATGATGACGGGAGCCTTGCCCGAAGAGGAGGAGGAGCCTACGATAGAGCAGTTGTCAGCACTGAAGAAGAAGCTGAGCTTGGGAAAACCCCCGTACTGCGACTTTGGCGTGTTCGTCCCGTTCGGCAGGAAGGCACTACGAGCTTCGAAATACAAGACCTGGATCCCGACGGCAGATGGCTATGTCGCGAAGGAGCTTCCGGGTCCGGCGAACTTCACCCAGTGGAGGGCTTGCTATCGGGTCTTCACGACGGCCATGCTGATGTTGGAGGAGTGCACCCTGGCACCGTTGCATGCCTACGAGCTGTTCGTGGAGAAGTTGACCAGAGCGTACCCAGAGGCTTGGCACTTGGTGTATGCAGCGGACGAGATGGCGCGGGGCGAACTTCTATCGAGGTTGAAGTTAAAGATCAACATGGACATGAAGGGAGGAAAGACGGCCCCATTCGCCTTCGAAGAGAAAAAGCCATGGGAAGCAATCTTCAAAATGGTCCCCGGTGAACTGAAATTTTGGCAGGACCAGGTACATGGCCCGGCTCTGACGTGGTTGGCTTCAGGCTCAAAAGGAAGAGTGCAAACCCCTCAGGAGACCATCGCACAAGGAACAGTTCGAGGAGGAGCGGATGCACTCTTGCCATCAATGGAGTCGGGAGCATTCAACCAGAGTTCTTCGAAGGCTACCTCATCTACCAGGAGGCAGGTGAACCGGGAAAGAAAGGAAGCGAAGAAGAGAAAGTGGCAGGCAGAACGCGAAGAGCTTCAACGACTTCGAGATGCACGGCACGAAGGCAGCGGCGAGCGAAGGTCGGGAGGAAAAGGAAAAGGGAAAAAGGGAAGTGGCGGGAAGCAAGCGGATGCTATTTGCTTCTCCTGGAACAACGGGAACTCACCGTGTGGGTCGCTGCCAGCTGGGGCCGAGTGCGCAAACATGATCAAGCGGATCCACAAGTGCTCATCATGCGGGTCGCCAGGTCATCCGGCGCATCGATGTCAGGGCAAGAAGTGAAGAGCACTGGTGAAGGATCTCGACAAGGCGGACACGAAGGAGGCGACGAAGGCGGTGAGGAGAAGAAGCAGGACCAAGAGAAGGAGCACCCAAAGAATGAAGAGAACCAGAAGGCCCTGGACGAGAAGATTGCGAAGTACATCAAACAGCGCAGATTTCGCTTCCTCCACCACTTTGCAGGTCCAAGAGATCCACTGGGGGCTGAGATCCATCGGATAGCCAAGAAGAAGGGCTTGAACGTCGAGGTGATCTCCGCTGAGCGAGATTGGGGCCAGGACCTTTGTGCGGATGAACCATACAACACCCATCTACGTTGGGCCCGTGAAGGCCTGATTGATGGGTTTCACGCCGGCTTTCCCTGCTCGACGTTTTCGCGCCTGAGGTTTAGAGAAGCAGCTGGCCTACCCGGACCCGTCCGCACTCGAGCTGAACCATACGGGAAGGCTTCGAACAACGAGGCCCAGCAGAGGGAGTGCGATAGAGGGACGGTGATGCTGGCTCGATCGACGCAGTTGGCGGAGGAGGTCATGAGGTCACCGACGACGTCAATAGTGGTGAAGCCTACGAGTTTGGAAAACCCGCCGCCTTCGGAGGTGGAGGGACACCTGTCGGCCTGGGGCATGAAGGAGATGGTGCAATACCTCCGTCTACCGGGCGTGAAGATTTCCCTGTTCAACACCTGTGCATATCAATCGAGCAGGAGCCGAGGTGACCGCCATTGGAAACCCCAGCAGTTCGCAGGGTCGCTGTACGGGATCGAGTCACTCGACAGGGAGTGCAAGTGCGGCAGTGCCTCTCACCGGCCGATCGTGGGGAAGAAGGAGTCGAAGGAGTCGGGCGAATACCCGTGGGAGCTTTGCAACGCCTATGCACACCTCCTCATGCAGCACTTCGAGAAGATGGCAACGGCTGAGTACTTGGAGGGGAGGTTGAAGGAAGGTGAACAAGACCACGATGACATCGCGACAAGCAACGCCGAGGCCTCGCAGGCAAGAGACGTGAGGAGGAGACAGGGCATAAAGACATCGCCCTCACCGGTCAAGGACGCACTCGAAGTGAGAGAGAGGAAGAGGAAATGGCAGAGAGAGGAGGAGGAAGAAAGGGCTCGTCTGCAAGCGAAGAGGAGGGAAGAGATGAAGAAGGAGGCGGCTCATGGCTCTCAAGGCGACGACGAAGGGCAGGCGAGAGGCAGTGGAGTCGGGAGGGAAGTGAGGTCTCGGTCAAGGGGCAGGAGAAAAGGGCACACCACGAAGGGTCCAGGAGAGAAGAACGACAGACAGGACCTGAGGTGGAGGCCAGGGGAAGGCAAGTACGGCTTGCTGAAGGAGGACAAGAAGAAGGAACAGGACCTGGGGCAGCAGGTCTTCATCGGGGGGGCTGAAGAACCCGACGGAGGTGGTTGAAGGACTTCCAACACTACAGAACTTGGGAAGACAGATCTTGGGCGCTTGGGACAGGCATTGCAACAAGTACCCCATGGCGGTGAAGGTAGGGGAAAGCTACGGCACACCAGACTGCAGCCTCGAAGGGAGGATGATCGAAAGGTGGAAGGAGGAATTGAGGAAGCTCACAGGTGCTCGAGGAGGGGGCACCTTGAGGTTGAAGGGCAAGTGGTCGTTCACCTCTCCGCTGGAGGGCAACCTATTCGAGGCTTGGGGAAGGAGGGGCGGCGACCCGGAGACGGAGGTTCACCGCTGGATCAGGGATGGAGTTCCTTTGGGGATAAACTGTCCCATTAGGACGTGTGGCATCTTCCCGCCTTCAACCAAGCCGGAGGAAAAGTCTACGCTGGGGGACATACAGGCGGCCGAAGGGTTGAGGGAGGACATCGGGAACTACACCTCGGTGCAGGAACAGGCGGAGGACGCGGAGATCGAGGTGGGCAGACTCTGCAAGCTGGGCTATGCGGTGAAGGTGAGGAAGAAGGAAGTGGAGAAGGCCGGTTTCAAGGGCACGACGATAAGCCGGCTGGGACTCATCGTGAAGGACAAGGAGGACGGGTCGAAGAAGAGGCGCATCATCATTGACCTGAAGAGGTCAGGAGGTAACAAAAAGGCAGAGCTGCCGGAGCGCATCATTCTCCCGAGGCCCATGGACGCAGTGGCGATGTTGAGGAAGATGCACGCATTGCATGCAGACCAAGGAGCACAGCAGGACCGGGCTATGGAACTGGTCATGATCGACATATCTGACGCGTATATGCATCTGGCGGTCAAGGAGGAGGAGAAGGGACATTGCCTAGCACCAGCCCTGGACGACGATCACTGGCTACTGTTCGTTGCCTTACTCTTTGGCTTCAAGACCGCACCTCTGACGTGGAGCAGGGTGGCAGCGATGGTAGCGAGGCTGGTCCAGTCAATAATTCCACCGGAACACGGCATGCACCAGGTGTACTTGGATGACAGCTTGTGGGCGCTGTGCGGACGCCTACCGGTGCGCAACAAGATGTTGGCTTGCATCTTAACCACGATGGCAGCCCTGGGCCTGAAGCTGTCCCTTGCAAAAGGAGCCCGGGCGGCGTCAGTGACGTGGGTGGGAGTGAATTTCAAGCTGGTGGCACCGGACTACGATCACCTGTTGCTGACGTTGCCGGAGAAATTCATGGCAGAGTTGAGGAAGCAGTTGGAAGCATGGGATAAGAAAGGCATGATTGCAGCTTCGGAACTCCGCAAGGCAGCGGGGCGGGTGGCATGGTTGGCGGGCATACTACCAAGAGCAAGGTGGGTGACATCAACCTTTTATGCCACCCTCTACGACCATGAGGAGGACGTGGCACAGGGGACGGAGGCCATCAGACGGGAACTACGGAAGGACAACCGCCCTAAGGACCATCTCATACCCGTGAAGAGGCTGGAGAAGGCGAGGGCGTGGCTGCTGGCGTACATCAAGGCGGCGCAGGGCAAACCAATTCGGAAGTTTAACCTGTACAAGGGAGGCAAGGCCGACCTGACTTTGCTGACGGACGCCTCACCTCAAGGACTAGGGGCAATTCTGTTGGTGAACGGCCGGGTTACCAAAGCGATGGCATCCCCAGTGGGCGAGCTAGACGCAAAGCTGCTAGGGTTCGAACTCGGACAATCGAGCTCACAGGGCATTGTGGAAACTCTGGCGATCCTGGCAGCACTACGACACTGGGGACGACTGCTGACAGCGGTCAACCTGGCCATATCCGTCCAGTCGGACTCGATCACAGCCCTGGCCATGACCCAAAAGTTCTCCAACAGCGGGTCAGCCCTCAACTATCTGGGGGCTGATGGCGGTGGCGTGCGAGGCGCTGGGTTTGGCCGAGCTGAAACCGGTGCACCTACCGGGAACAGTGAACAAGGAGGCCGACTTTTTGTCCCGGCCGGACACATGGAGCAGCACTACCTTGCCGGCAGCACTGGAGGGCATCACGATCGAAACGCCAGTGGAGCGGACGGTCGAATGGTACAGCCTTCATCCACCAGGTCCGGACTCCGCCGAATGGCAGGATGACACAGCCTTGACGGCGGCCTGGAGTCTGCGACCGTGAGGGTCGATTTGAAAAGGGGCAGGGGGAGCTTGCCGGGTGGCCACAATGTGGAACCTGGTAGGTACTGTAGGCATTTCGGTTTCGTTCGAATCGTTACGGTGTCAGGTACCCTTCGTAGCCGGGGCTCAAGATGGAGTTGACGACGGCCGTGGAAACCTCGCCACCGGAGGTGTATGGGTACGCTTACGCGTGGCCATGGCTTCGCTTCTGGCTTTTCTACCTCGTCGTCACTGGCGCGCTGACCCACCTCGCGGTAGCATGGCTCGGTTGCACACGGTTGGCTCGCTGCCTGCTCTCCCTCAATTCTCCGCGGACATCCACAAAGGCAAAGAAAGGGGCGGAGAAGACACCTCAACCTTCAGAAGAAGACCTATGGGAAGAACACCAACCATCGGAGGAAGAACGATGGGAAGAGCCGTGGGACATGGACCAGAGGGACAACGAGGACATCTACCCCTACAACCCGTTGGAATGGACTCCGGAAAGAGGGATCAGAAGGAGGCACCCCCAGGCCTCACCTTCGGAACCGGCACCTTGGAGAGCAATGGTGGACCACTTCTCACCGAGGGAGACAAGAGGCACGGAGGGGTTGACGTCGGCGCCATCAACGGAATTGGACACACCGGGGACGAGCTCACCACCGCTGAGGGACAGGGTAGTGGCTACGAGAGATATGTTATGGCTGGTTACGAGGAGGCTCAATTCGAAAGACAGTTGGCAACTGTGATGTTGGAGGAGACGAAGGGGGGCCAATCAGACCTATGGGAGATGAAGACTTGGGATGACGAGGAGGAGGTCAACGAGACGGTGAAGGAGGGAGAAGGGAAAGCCGAAATCTTTGAGTTCCCACCTTCGCCTCCGGTCGGAAAGACTGAGAAGGAGGACGCGGAGGTCAACGCGCTGGTGCATTTGGTGAAGCGCCGGCGAAACGGGAACATGGAGGAAGCGGGAGAAGCCAGCGCCAGAAAGCGTCAGAAGAAGGAAGAAGAGCGAGGAAAAATCCAGCTTCGGCATGAAGGGACTAGAGAGACTATGCCCAAGGGCCACAGGAGGCCTGACATCCCGCAGCAACCAGCGAAGAACCCAAAGTTGAGAGGAAATCAGAAGTGGTTGAAAGCCATTCGAACGGCAAAGATGTTCAGGTCAGGCGGGCCGAAGAACAACAGGACTCTAGTGAACTTCAAGAAAGACTATTATGCAAACTCATCGAGGAGGGCAAGAGCATCGGTAAGGAAGACGGTGGACAAGATCTTGCTCAACCTGGGCGTGAAGGGATCCAATGAGTGCTGGACGCCAGAGACGTTGGAACAGGTAGGGGCAGTACTCAAGTCTTCAGAGTACAAGGCAGGGGTGACCTACTTGTCTGAATACAAGATCATGGCGATCGAGACGGGCGTGTACTGGTCACAGCAACTACAGAGGGCCTACACCCAGGCGACGAGAGCTCTGAACAGGGCAAAGGGGCCGCCAAAGAAAGCCAAGGAGGTAGAGGAGGACAGATGGTTCACGGCATGCAAAGCGGAGCTGAACGAAGTGCAGAGGGGCGCAGTCCACTACCCCGCCTTGTTGTTTGCCTTTGCCACCACTTGGATGTTGAGAGAAGTCGAATTAGCGGCGATCTACAAGGAAGACATCGTGATTGAGAATTATTGGTGGCATTGACTCTACGCATCACCAAGGGTGATCAGGAGGCAAAGGGATTGAAGAGGACACTGCAATGCTCGTGCAGGGGAGAATGCAACTGGCAGAGACCGTGCCCATACAAAATCACCAAGGCCACCCTCGAAACAGTTCCCGTGGAAACAGACAAACTGGTTTGCGGCGACGGCGAAGGTGAAGTGTCGAAAGACCAGCTCATTAGCGCCTGGCGGAAGTGCTTTGGGAAAAGCATTTCGGGTCATTCGGGGAGAAGATCCGGGGCATTGCAGTACATTAGAAAGGGTTGGCAAGTGCCGCAAGTCGCGTACCTGGGTAGATGGAAATCCAACGTGATCTTGCAATACGCCGAAGAAGCCTTGGAGACGATGCCAGTGAGGCCCAAACCCCATGGCGATGGTGGCTCCGAGATCGGCGACGGGAACGGCACGAAGGTTTTGGCCATTTCCACCATGTCAGAGCAGGACACCAAGGCACTAGCGGAGGTGAAAGACACGGAACGCAAGTTGAAGAAGGAGATACAGTTCCTCAAAGCCACGCAGGAAAAGTTGGACGAATCGATTGTGAAATGGGAGGCGGCGTCGAAGGAGAATCATGGACTTCTCCCCCCGACGGTGATCTCACGTGGGGGCACGGTGCACGAGAACAGGAGACAACCAATCGCTTCTCCAGTTTTGGCTTGGCACACTCGTTGTGGGTGGCCGTTCGGTTCCTCCGCCTTTAGCTTTGGCTTGGACGTGTCGAAGGTCAGCTGTCAGAAATGCCTCCTACTTGCGCAGAGCAATGAGGAAAGGTGTGGCAAAGGAGGTGGATGATGGATAAGATATCCATC